GATTCTAGCTGAATTCTAGGCCACCAGTCTAAATAAACATTCTGCGACTCTAGTTCCTCTTTAGATCTTAATTCACCGTCTTTTTAAAATAGATCTTGATATCTTAATAGATTTGCTTTTGTCATAAGATTGGATTGTGTAAAGGTTTCTATCGGTGACACCCATGCAGGTATTTTGTAATAAACTTGTTGTGTGATCTTTCTCCACGTTCCCAGTAAAGCTTTCCTTAACATATGTGAATTAAAAAATTTTTGTTCTTTGTCCTTTTTATACCATAAATAGGCATGCCAACCTAGTTGCAAATCATGTCCTTCCAAGCTAAGTAATCTATCATTTTCTAGAGTTATCCATTCTTTTATCCAATCTAGAATACAAGCTCTGTAATACAATTCACAGTCTGGAAGACCAAAGCCACCCCTCTGCTTAGCATCTTGCATTGCCTTAATTTTAATTCTTGGTTTTTTACCTTGCCATATAAATCTCATAATTATCTTATTAAATTCTTTTAAAAATGACTGCTTTAACATGATAGGAATTGACTGAAATAAAAATAAGATTTTTGGCAAGATAGTCATTTTAATCGCCGCAATTCTTCCCAACAACAATAGTTGTAATTTATCCCATTTCTCCAAATTGTTCTGTATCTCCTTCATTAGTTTCATGTAGTTATCTTTGAATAATGTGCTTGTCTTCTTTGTGATTTGTATTCCTAAATATCGGATTTTCTTCTCCTCTTGGAAGTTCGTCTTCTCTTGTCGTTCCTGTTCTCTCATGTTCTTGGTAAGTAGTTTAGTCTTCTTTTGGTTTTTCCTCATTCCGGCCATGTCGCCAAAATTTTTTAACGTTGTCATTAAGTCTTCTATTGAATCCAATGGTTCTTCCAGTATAATAACTAAATCATCCACAAAGGCCTGAAGTTTATAAACTTGACCGTTCACTTTTAATCCTTTCAATTCCTTTTTACTTCTAATTTGTTCGTTAAGTATTTCCAGGGTCAAAATAAATAGGAGTGGGGAGAGTGGACACCCCTGCCTAGTACCTTTCTGTATTTGGATTTCTTTTGATAATTCGCCATTGATTTTTACTTTTTCCTTTTGTTCAGTATATATTGCTTTGATTAGTTTCATAAATCTTTGTCCAACGTGCAGTGTTTCTAACGTGTATATCATAACGTTCCAGTCAAGATTGTCAAAGGCTTTCTCCGCATCTAGAAATATCATGGCCATCTGTTTCTCCGGGGGTGCTTCATAGTATTCCAGGGCATTTAAAACTATCCTTATGTTATTCTTCATCTGTCTTTTGGGGAGAAACCCAGACTGATCTTGATGTATCAGATGCAGTGTGGGATTCTTTAAAGCAGCCAGAGTGGTGAAGACCATCGTATTTGAGAGATTACTTACTTCAAGAGATTTCTGAAGAAAGTAGCCATATTAGTCTGTCTCAGCATGTTAGTAAAAGAAAAATAAGGTGGAAGGATATGAAATATCATATGACTTTAAGGAATAACAAATTTATTTCAGTGTTTCATAGATCAAATCCACTTCTTCATGCACAGGGAATACAAAAATATGTCACATATTTACTCCAGGAAATGGTGAAATTGCTTTCTGTTAGGATGTCCACCATGTTTCCTGCTTATCCTTAAGGTCATTTTTATGCAGCAAGATTAAGTCAGTTAATTTAATTAGCAGCTTTCTGATATTAGTATGTTGCATTTTGCTTTTTTTTTTCTTTCTAACTATAGCCCTTCAAAATACATCTACTGCTAATAATGTTCATTTAGCAGATGAAGCTGTAAAAAGCTCTGGTATACCCAGAAATAGCTCATGTAGTTCTTTGGATTACACCATTTATTCTTATATCATATTTTTTAAAATAGACAAGAAGGGAATTTTAATATATTTTATATTAGTGTATAATGTAAATTACAATATACAAGTGTATATTAGGGTATAGAGCAGAGACCGGGGTCTTCTGGGGTCTGGGATACATAAACTGTAGGACCTCCTGCTATGTCCCACTAGCTCTTGTCTCATCCAAACTTTTCCCCCCACCCCAGCGGTAGTCATTTAGGTCAGTGGAAGCTTTTTTCAAAGCTTGGTTGCCAGCAACATTCCCTCTAATTTTCGTCCCAACAAGGGGGGGGCTCACTCATCTGTGTGTGAGGGAGTGGGGTTTCAACCAAAAACCCAGAAGTAAACAAGTATCAACACTGGCTGCCACTGCACGGCACTGATGGAACTCTGTATGCACATGCATGCACCTTAGAGAGAACGTTGCTTGCCACATAGAAGAAAGCAGTTGTGGAGAGCTAGCTATATACAGTTTTCATATTGACTGTAATGGAGTTCTGGATATCTGGCAATTCTGAATTTTCTAACTTCAGAATTCCAAATCCAAAGGGCAGTAAGTCCGAATTCCAAATCTGAAAGTTGGTGCTAGTACACATCACTTCTTAAACATCAGACTCTTTCAGTACATGGAAATGCATTCCCATGAATCTAGGTGTATGATTATAGTCCAAATTAGTTTATCTAGTATTCCTGTTCTTTACTGTTTGATGTTTAATTTTGCTGAAATATAAATCAGTAGGACTAGCTTTCCCTCTAATTTTTAGCCTCGCTGGGAGGGGCTCTGCCCCCTGTGTTCACTACTTCCCCCCCATGAGCTCCCCCCCCCCATGCAGGGTTCCATCATGATTGGAACCAAAGGGGCATAGGAACTAATGCAAAGCCGGTTAATCCGTACTCTACCACTAGGGAGTGAATTTTTTCTTCTTTTGACCTAAGGTTTACTTAAGTTAAAAAAGGGGGGGGTGCAGGAAAGGTTTTTGTGGGTTTTTTTGGTCCGTAAGTCAAGGCTCCGTTCGCAGGTTGAAGCAACTTTATGTGAATGGAGCCATTCGTAACTTGAATCGTTCACAAGTAGGGATGTTCGCAAGACGAGATACCACTGTATTCCAAACAAAGCAAAAACAATGATGTCCAAGTTGATGGTTATTGTAGCTGCTTTTGCAAGGGTGTTTCATACATTTGCAATCATAATTTAGAATACATTATGTGCTTTAAAACTGGCAAAGGTTTCTTGGCCAAAGTATTGGCCAAAATCCTGTTGGTATTTACATAAGGATCATATAACCTCCTATGCCGAATTTCAATTCACAATGTGCCAGGATGTGTAGTAGTCATGCGCATGGTTTTATACCTTGGTAAAGGTAAAGGTTCCCCTTGACATTTTTAATCCAGTCATGTCCGACTCTAGGGTACGGTGCTCATCCCGTTTTCAAGCGCTTGTCCAAAGACAGTTTCCGTTGCCACGTGGCCAGCGTGACTAGGGAACACCGTTTTACCTTCCCACCGAGGTGGTACCTATTTATCTGCTCTTCATCTGCATGCTTTCAAACTGCTCTTATACCTTATTGTACAGCAAAGATGCACCCGACCATCTCATCAATTAGTTGTGCTAAATTATTCAAATGGCCCACCTATATAATTCTATCATTTTATCCATTTTTGTTCTGTTTACAAGGCTTTATATAATAACATTACATCCCATATTCAGACAGTGTGTTTCGTGCAGTAAAAATCTGTTCCAGGTGTGTTGACAGGGACAAAGAATGAAGTATATATATATATTTATTTGATTAAGACTTCTTTGTGAAGAGGCTTGATTTGTCACATGACGTGCTTTGCTCCCAGTACATTCCATCTTTCTGTTTATTTGTTGCTTTTTAAAAACAAAAACAGGCCTTGACCGTGATGTTATAGCAGATGACCTGCCTCATCCATTTGGTCTGACTCAGTACCAAGATTACATCTATTGGACGGATTGGAGCCGGCGTAGTATTGAACGTGCCAATAAAACCAGTGGCCAGAACAGAACTGTCATCCAAAACCACTTGGATTATGTGATGGATATCCTAGTCTTCCATTCGTCTCGGCAAGCTGGCTGGAATGAGTGTGCTTCCAGTAATGGGCATTGCTCCCATCTGTGTTTGGCAGTGCCCGTGGGTGGTTTTGTCTGTGGATGTCCAGCTCACTACTCTTTGAACTCTGACAATAAAACATGTAGTGGTAAGCCATAAACATAGATGACAGTTTAACTGATGCAGACTACTGAGGTTTTGTGGTTCTGACTTGGGCTGCAAATATTGTAGTACTTTTTAAACTGCAAACCAGAATGAGTTATGTGTGTGGTGGCAGGAAAAGAATGTGCCAAATATCGTCCTATTTTCATCTGTAGTGTAGAGATGCATTGAGATATGCAGTAACCTGATTCATGCAAGATTTTAATGCATGCAAATTTTATAAAATCTTGCTATATCTGTAGCAAAGAAGTTACCGACTTTGTATGTAGTTTCTATCTGGTGTGCTGCCTACTAAAAGAAGAAGAAATAGTTAAAATTGTTGAAGCGTTAGATGTTATGTTTGTCCACTCAGTTTAGTTCAGACCCTCCTTTAATCTGAGACACTCCTATGAGCATTCTGTTTGTTACCATTGTAACATTATATTTACCAGAAGGAATCCTTATCAGGCTCTGCACAGTTGTTTGGTGGTATTAGTGATTCACATATCCACTTCATATTGTTATGTCTGATAGTAAGAGGAGAGCTTCAATAAGACTGTATTCATGGCATCTGTTTTTCAAATGCCAACTTGCAATGTTGGTGACAGATCAGCTGCATTCTCTAGGATTGTGTCCTTTTCTCTCCATCATGAAAATTTGCTGCCCTCTAATTGCTCCTGAATGACAGTTAAGTGTTACATTAATGTAATTATTAACCATGGTTAATATAAGGTAGAGTTCTTTTTAAATTACAGTTTGAAACTATCACTAGAAGGTATACCACTTAACTGTCATTAAGGCTGGAAAAGAAGGATTCATGCCTATGAAAGGGGAGTATAGTTGGAAGGTGTGATATCATGGCCCACTCCCAATCTTTGAATTGTTGCAAAATCACTGCTAGGTCTGCACTTGATCCTTAGAGCAATGGCACAGAACTATACTCAAGAATGAATATTTCTTAAAGAATAAAACAAATAATTCACATTCCCTGGGCTGGAAAAAAAAGACTGGGATAGTAAATGTGCTAGGTGGATTATGCTTTAATCCTAAAAAAAACTGAGTTTAGAATACATTATGTGTATATGCGCAAGAACTACAAAAGGATGAAAATTATATTTCTGGAGCAAGAAATTGATTTCTTTTTAAATTATGCATGTTATCACAGATATTTTTATAGGAGAGGTATTTTACTTGTGTTTTATTTATTTAATTTTTAATTTTAAATATATTTAACTTTCCTTTCTCCTTAAAAAGGACCTAAGGCAGCTTACAACAATTAAGACAGTATTTAAGTTAGGAATAATGAATATACAATACTAAAAGGTTACAATACCAAAAAGCAACATTAAAAAAATTAAAACAGTAAAGTACACCAGTGCATTCAGAATCCCCACTCAGGTAGCCAGTCACTCAGAGGAAGCTTGCCTGGAGAGAAAGGTCTTTGCCTGCTTGCAGAAGGACAGTATAGATGAAGCCAGTCTAGCATCCTATGGGAGGGAGTTACAGTGTCCAGGAAAAGCAAGAGAAAAGGCCTTCTCCTATGTTCCCACCTAACACACCTGTGATGGTGGCAGGACTGAGAAGAAGGCCTCCACTGATTATCTTCACTCAAGCATGCTCAAGAAGGAGCTCATTAGAGAAGGAAGCTTGTTATTAAAAGGTTTTATCAGCACTTAAATTTTAATATTTTTTGTTTAGGAACACTTGCTACCCAAGTTTCACTCCATTTATGTGTCTATTTTGCATTTAAGCCCCTACAAGTTTCTTGCTCTTCAGTCAGAAGAATGCAATCAATCGCATGGTCATAGATGAGCAGCAGAGTCCAGATATCATCCTTCCAATCCACAGCCTTAGGAATGTCCGGGCTATTGACTATGATCCACTGGAAAAGCAACTGTACTGGATAGACTCACGACAAAATGTTATAAGGAGGTCCCAGGAAGATGGTAGTCAGGTACATCACATGGGACTGGTTTTACAGTGTGTTGGGGGGAAACTATGTGGAGCGTTTTTCATGTTTAAAATATTTGACACATAATATAAATAGGTTAAGATACAAATACTTTTATTTATATTTTACCTTCATTGAAGGGAGGTTTTCAGAGGTGTACATAAAAATTAAACATTTAATATAATGCAATAACTTAATCTAAACATAAACCATACATAATGAAATACTTTCACATATTAGAATCTACAGATGTGATTGCACGCTTGTTAGCTGGTGATAGATCAGGTGAACATACTAAGAACATTTCGATTTGAGCGGGAGGAAAGTTAAGTAGTGTTTTAAATCTGTATGTTTATCTTAGTGAAGTGGCTTTTTGGAATTGCAGCTAACATGCACAAATGTAGAGGTGTAAGTCTATGTCCCATAATAATTAGTAAAGCATAGCAATGGATAGGCCATAGTGTGTGCTGCCTATTTCTTGATGCCTTAGAAATGAGAAGGTGATGTTCAGATTTTGCAACGTAGAACTGTCATGTAGGGGGAAGATTTCTTTGATATATCATATTTCTTCTGCAACTTATGTTTAAGCTTATGGGTGGGTTTGAATATATTTATGAATAATCTGGTGAGAAGGGCCAGATTATTCATAAACATGTTTGAACTTGCTTATGGTGTCAAATCCCCTTCACAGATTGCTGCCTTGTCATGGCAAAGGGGCTTGAGTAATTCAGAGAAGCTATGGGCTATGCCATGCAGGGCCACCCAAGACGGACAGGTCATAGTGGAGAGTTCTGACTAAATGCAATCCACCTGGAGCAGGAACTGGCAAGCCACTCCGGTATCTTTGCCAAGAAAACCCCATCAACAGAAACAAAGGGCTAAAATATATGATGCTGGAAGATGAGCCCCTCAGGATGGAAGGTGTCGAACATGCTACTGAGGAAGAGCGGAGGACAAGTACAAGTAGCTCCAGAGCTAATTAAGTGGTTGGGCCAAAACTGAAAGCACCCTCAGCTGCGGACATGCCTGGAAGTGAAAGGAAAGTCTGATGCTCCAAAGAAAAATACTGCATAGGAACCTGGAATGTAAGATATATTAACCTTGGTAAGCTGGATGTGGTCAAACAGGAGATGGAAAGAATCTGGGCATCAGTGAACTAAAATGGACGGGAATGGGTGGATTCAATTCAGACAATCATCATATCTACTATTGTGGGCAAGAAACCCATAGAAGACATGGATTAGCCCTGATAGTCAACAAAAGAGAGGGAAATTATTTCAATACGAATCCAAGGCAGTCCTTTCAACATCACAATAATCCAAGTTTATGCACCAACCCCAGCCGCTGAGGAGACTGAAATTGAACAATTTTATGAAGATTTACAACACCTACTAGAACTGACACCGAAGAAGGATGTTCTTCTCATTCTGGGGGACTGGAGTGCTAAGGTAGGGAGTCAAGAGATAAAAGGAACAACAGGGAAGTTTGGCCTTGGAGTTCAAAACAAAGCAGGCCGAAGAGTTTTATCAAGCTGGTCATCGCAAACACTCTTTTCCAAGAGGCGACTCTACACATGGACATCACCAGATGGGCAATACGGAAATCAGATTGATTATATTCTCTGCAACCAAAGATGGAGAAGCTCTATACAGTCAGCAAAAACAAGACCTGGAGCTGATTGTGGCTCTGATCATCAGCTTCTCATAACAAAACTCAAGTTTAAACTGAAGAAAGTAGGAAAAACCACTGGGTTAGTCAGGTATAATCTAAACCAAATCCCTTATTAGTACACAGTGGAAGTAAACAGATTTAAGGAACTAGATTTGGTGGAAAGAGTGCTTGAAGAACTATGGATGGAGGCTTGTAACATTGTACAGGAGCCAGCAACAAAAACCATCCCAAAGAAAAGGAAATGCAAGAAAGAAAGCGGCTATCCAACAGTCTTACAAATAGTAGAGAAGAGAAGGGAAATAAAATGCAAGGGAGATAGGGAAAGTTACAGAAAATTGAATGCAGACTTCCAAAGAATAACAAGGAGAGACAAGACAGCCTTCTTAAATGAACACTGCAAAGAAATCGAGAAAAATAATAGAAAGGGAAAAACCAGAGATCTATTCAAAAAAATTGGAGCTATTAAAGGAACATTTTGTGCAAAGATAGACATGATAAAGGACAAAAATAGTAGGGACCTAACACAAGCAGAAGACATCAAGAAGAGGTGGCAAGAATATGCAGAGGAATTAAACTAGAAAGATCTGGGTGTCCCGGACATCCCAGATAGTGTGGTTGCTGACCTTGAGCCAGACATCTTGAAGAGTGAAGTCAAGTGGGCCTTAGAAAGC